ATCTGATAAAGTCCTGGCCATGTTGATGTCAGTGGAAAAACTCTATTGAGTTTTAATAAACCACTGTCCACTGGCTCTAAAAGTAACTATTATAATATCAAAAAATGTGTTAGATAGAGACTGAGCATAGGAGTAGGAGTTGCCTCATTTAATATAACACAGTGTATGAATTAAAACWTACTTTTGTCTTTGTTTCTTCTCAACTAAGAATAATGTCTGAGCATCTGTGGAAGAAATTGCATAGAACCTCCAAATAAAGTCAGTGAAGTTCCCATTGAGTTTCTTTTCCCACGAAGTAGTGCACAAACATTATTTTTAAAGATGGAARGGAGAGTAAATTGAGGAATGAAACCAAATATTCTAGGATATTTCTGTATGAGAGTATTATTTAATTTAGCCAGAAATAGTGGGCATTACCAGACAAAAGGAGTATATTTTGACATGAGGGCACAATAGCTGCAACCACAAACACTCACACTCTTAATTTGCTCACAGCCCTGTTTGTTCTAAGTTTCTGTCCATGCCTGGAATTCATTACATGTCTGCACAATTCTTATGCAGCACACTTCTTATACAAATSTGGGGCCAGAAATCACCACCACATGTGCTTCCATCTCTAAGCACTGGGAACACTCTCTTCACTCGCCATGGCCGGAGCACCTTCCATGAGCAACACCATCAAAAACCATTGCAGAGACAGAAAAAACACAGCAGTTTACTGATAGCAGTTTATTGCTTTGAAGGAAATGCCTGAGACGGGTAGTGACCCAGAAACGTCTATTATTGGCCTATAATTTTTAATTTAATAACATTTTGATAAGCCCAAGTTAATCTTGAGTAATGTACTGGTATGGAAACAATCTAGTTCAAAGGATGATTAATCTGTTCCAGTGTGATAAATGTTAAGCAAGGATAATTAATACCAGATTTTTAGATTCAAGAACTTAAGCTTCTGCATGGCTAATCAAATATATAAAATGGTAAGATAATGCAGGAAGTCTGATCACATCTCACATGCCTCACCAGAAGCCTCATTTATCATAAAAGAAATAATCTTATTCTCAAAGCATCCTGACAGCACTGTCAGGAATTGCACCCAAAACTATCTCCCATCTAGCCATCCATCCAAAACRTACTGGTTGGGCATTCACCTTGGAAGGACTTCAGTAATCCACATGTTCTTTCACAGGACTTTGCAAGTGTGTGTGTGCCTTCACTTTGATCTCCAGTTGGAGGTACTTAATTTATATCATTGTAGATGTCAAATCACTAAAATCCAGAATCAAGCCTGGCAACCTTGGACATAAAATAATTCATCTGTGTTTAGTATACAGTTCTTAGATGCATCTCATAATATTTTGGGGAAGTGAAGTCTGAYATACATAATGAAGTATGAGGTCCACTACTATAAACTAATATTTTTCCAGGAGGTAATAGTTATACTAAAGTACACTATYACCATATTTGAATAAATGATACTGTGAGACTAATCAGATTTTAAAACACAAGATTTTGGGAAAAAAAAAAAGTGAAAACCCAGAAAATTTAGGATGGTCCTGAAAACGCAAGGAGATTAGTAGAGAATACACTGTTGCTGTTGTAGTCTTCCTGTACGATCTGGGCTACTTGTCCTAGAGGCAAATAGGAAAATTATCACCAGAGAATAATGACTGAGTTCACCCTGAGAAATTTTTGGCATGATTGCTTTGTTTCCGATACTTGATTGGCCAAATTACAGCTGTCACTGAAAAGTGCCATTTTTGAGAAAAATGAAATGGTAATTCGAAACGAACTCTTCACTGTAGAGCCATATAAACCCTGTGAAGTACATCATGTGGAGTTTCTGAAACTTCCACAGCTAATGTAAATAGCAAGATGCAAAGCAAAGACAAAACTGAATTGAGCAACAAGTCTTGGGGATATATTACATCTTCACTTGGACTGGAATATTCAGGCATTAGACTCTAATGTGTGCAATGGTTACTCTAATGTAACTCTGATCTGACTTCCAAAATAGGTTTTAGAAAATAATTTAAAACTTTTTTTTTTTCCATCTGGAAAAAATTTATAAGYAAGGAAGCCACTTCAAGGATGTCTGTGTTGTTCAAAGATAGCACAACCRTATCACCATTGTGTCCTCAGAAAATCTAGAGAGTGATTAGATCAAGTAAACATAAATTTGCCAAAAGGCACAGTGAGAAAGGTGCTTAGTGGGCTTGTAAGAAACTGTGCTTGGGCACTTGAAGGTTTTCTACCTTGTYTGACTGTTCAAAAAACACCTTCACAGAAAGAGACGCTGGTTTTCTGTCATGTAGTACTGAAAAGTGCACTAAAGTGGGCAGAGTTGGACGGATGGAACAAAGTTTCTATTTCAACACAAAATTGTAGTTCGTTAAATACAGTGAGAAGCTGGATTGGTTTTTTCCACTCTTGCAAAGGATTTATACTAATACTTGAGAGATCATACGTTTGGCTCTTTCTTGAGATTTCTTYAGGTTTTTTCCTCTAGAAAGAGAGTGAAATGTTGTTACAAACCAGTTTGTATTTTGCAGCATATTAATACACTGATTTTCTCAAGGAGAGAGAAGAAGGGGAAACCTTACTGTGGAGGAATAGTCCTAAGAACAACCTGAAATGCCAGCTTAGCATTTTGTACTTCAAAAATGTCCTTGACTTTTATAAACAGCCGTGATGGTAAAATTGAGGCTGTTAAAAATACATGGTTTACTTCAGTAGTTTATAATTCACAGTGGCATTTAGTGGGTGGAGTTGTAAATTAGTAAGTGGACTGCTGCCACAGCAGAGTAGGCTACTGCTCTGCAAAGAAGAAACTTTGCTAAGAATAGGAATGTGGTCACAATGATAATGAACAAGGGCTCCACATGCCTGAAACGTTGATGGGTGATTGGGAGATGGTTGTTGGACGTTTAGCAGCTGCTCTAGAAATTAGATGTTATCAAAGATCTGTTTGAAAGATTGAACGGGATGAAAAGCATGCAAARCTTAACCAGTAAGACCTGGTTTCAATTTTTAGTTGCACTACCAAAAGGCAGAGTGGCACATGAAATATTTATGTTGTCGATAAATTGGAAGGTACAGTTTGACAGCCAACAAAATGCTATGTTTATTCTGCTGCATGARGGTTGGAGCAGTCTCCACACATAAAAAGATCTTTTCCTCTATTTTTTTTTAAATTAAGTAGAAAAATGTGSCATGAAAACATTACAATGTGTTTATCAGGTATTTGATCTGGTCTGCCAAATATTCATACAAAAAAGTCTGTTACTTCCTGGAAACAATATTAATGTTCAAAATAAACCCAGCATTTTAAAGGTACTAGATTTTTCTGAGGGAGAATGATTTACTTATCRCTAGGATGATTTGCCTTTGGACTCTTAGTAGCTGTAACAACCTTACTCAAAGGCTGCAAGCCAAGAACTTTCTATGAGAAATCCTGAGTGAAGGGTGCAGACAGATATGGATGSCAATACAAAACACGTCACCTTCAGCTTTTGGAAACTTTACTACTGAGTGAMAGCAGCTATATGATTGCTATTCAGCCAGAAGTAGACAAGAAAATATTCTGAACCCAAACACATGACCTGCATTACTGCAATGATTTCATGGTTTTGACTGCTTACATTCCCAATTGGTGGACATCAATAGTGTGCTCTCACTTTTCTGGCCTTAAGAAACATAATTGAGCTATGTCAGCCTTAAAGTGATCCACAGGAAACTTTCACTGAA